AGCCCCAGCCGCAGCCCCACCCCGCAGCCGGAGGGGTCTGGCCCGGGAGCTGCTGGGAGAGCTGGCGCCGCCACGAGGGGGACACAGCTGCTCCACCGGGCTGCGCTTCCGGGTCGTGGAAGCAGGCCCAGGCTGGCGCCGGTCACAGATAACAAAGTACTAAAAATGTCCACGACTCTAACGTGAAGGGCTTTCGCTGGGCTCCCGCACTCCTGCAGCGGAATTTGGGGCTCACGGATCTGGAAATCAGAGCGGCCCGAACAGCCCGAAATACCTGCAGAGGGTATGAGGCCAGAAGGATGTGGAGAGGAAAGAGGAAAATGGGAAGTCAGGGGCGGGAAGGGAGTGTTGTTCGCCCTTCTGAGATCCAGGCCCCTGGCCCGGTGTGCTCAAACTTAGCCCCAGAAAGCGCTACTCCTGTTGAAGGCTACAAAGTACTCTTTCCTTCTTAAGACCTGACCATCAACTGGCAGCAAGCAGGGAAAGTGGCTGCATAAGGAATGATTTGTGCAGGATAGACTATATAGACCAGGCTTTCTCCACCTCCTCTCACCAGACAGCTGGATTGAAGGGTCTGAGTGGTACTCTTAATGTTTCACTCCACTGCTCTCCATCATGAACTTGGAATCATGGGAGGAAGTCAGAAGGCTGAGGTGGACTAAATACTCCCCAATAACCTCTCCTCTCACTTCTCCTCCTGCCCCTGGGCCTAGCAGTGGCCCAGAATGGAGTTTGGCAGCTACAGGGAAATACTAGCTCTTATAAACTAAGAAATGTAGTAGCCGAGAGAACAGGGAAAGCTACATGCCAACTCAGACTCAAAAAGAACATCCTACCTGTTCTGTCGGTTCTCAGCTTTCAGCCCAGATCCAAACCTAAAAATGTTCTCCACCCACTTTGGGACTGGGCATAGGGAAAGGGACAGGGACGAGTCCTAGAAAAAAGGCTGTCTTACCTAGGTCAAGCTGGGGGCAAGCCCTGGCCAAGCCTAGAGGGCCTCCATAGAGCAAAGTTCTCAGGCCCTAGAGTGACCCCCGGCCCACAGCCCACATGGCCAGCCAGCTCCTGAGGCATCATACGGATTTAATGAAAAGACCTAAAATACAATCAGCAGTGCTGGCTCCTTGGACCCAGATCTACTTCTCACCCCATACCTCACACATCCTTGGCAGAGAAGACAGGGCCTTCTAGCTGCCCAGAGTGGTGCTCAGTGCTGGCACCAGCTCAGAACCAGGGGAAGCTTTCCTTTAAGGGTCAGGGCAGCCTAATCCACACAGGCAGATCTCAGGGAGGGTGTGCATGTTTCTAATCCCTAGGAATCACCTACAGTGCTGGACCAGGGGGGTGAGCTCCACTTCCTGCAGATTGGGCCGGGGATGCTGTGTAAATATAGGGAGCCCCAAAGGGGTAATGCCTGGAAATCTGGCAAAAATAGGGTCCCCAAAACAAGGGCAAAGCTCAGTTATTTGTAAAGCAGAAGCAAACAGGAAATTCACAAGACTGGGGACCAATAAGAATTGCAAAAGGACAGGATTTGGAGTCTCCTGGACCCAGGCCAAGGTGGGCAAAATATGGGCCCTGGGAGATTTGGGGGTGTAAGTGGGAAAGGATGGATTATGAAGGGGGAGGAAAGGAAGCCTTAGGCGCTTCCTCCCCATCCTCACCATCTCCTCCACCTCCCCGGGAAAACTCTGTCCAGAGCCAGGTTAGGTGGTGAGAAAGACCACACCAGAGGTGGAGGTGGGGAGGGAGGCTGATACAGAACCGGATGTGGCCTGACACGCCGCATACCTGGGTCTCGGAGAGGTTGAGCTGCCGGGCGAGCTCGGTCCTCTCGCGGCCCACCACGTACTGGCAGCGCTGGAACTCCATCTCCAGCCGGTAGAGCTGCTCCGCGGTGAAGGACGTGCGAGTCCTCTTGGGCCGGTCCAGGTCCAGGCCCTTGGGCAGGATGATCTCTCGGATGGACCCCTTGGCATCTGGGGAAGGGGAGATGTCAGCCACCAGAACCCTCCCATCTCCCTCCAACTCCTTGGCCCGAGGGGGCTTCAGGGACGCAATCCCTAGCAGCCTGCAGTATGGAGGACTGGGGCTGGGGGGGCAACTCCACACCGCTGGCGAGAGGAGGGACCAGACTTTGTCTTTCTGTAGTCTTCCAGACGGATGAGGGGGAAAAAAATCAATTACAAATAGGCGGACGGTCCTTTCGGCCTGGGGAGCCTGGGCTGCGCCTTTTGCGTCCCCTGTAGCCTGAGGGGGCCCTCGCCGACCAGCCCGGGTCCTGTGGACCCCAGCTCTGGGGCGCG